ATTGGGAGATGGGTGGTACAAGTATGATTTCTAATTTACAGATGGGAAAACAGGTTCAGAGATGTCCAGTGACTTGTCTGCGACCGCAAAGCTGAGACACTTTTGATCTGGGATTCAAATATAGGTCTCCTAATTCCAAGGCCAGTCCTCTGAATGGTCATTTCTTCTTGATCTATGCACTATGAAATGAAATGGGGATTTGGATACTATGCCTGATTTTCATAGTTAACCAAATCTGGGTGAAATGTAATCTGAACAATTCATATGTTTTGAGGGTTGGAGTAACAGAATGGGGGCAGGAATGTCAGAGAGAGGGCCACAGGATAGTTAGATGATTGCCCTTGAGGTCAGGAAGGCATTTTTTAAGTCTTGTCTGGGATGTTTAACTAGCTGTGCAATCAAGGGCAAGTGGATTAATCTCTCTGTGCCCCAGGTAATTCTTTAAGGCTATCCATTACAGGTGTGTTGATGAACTGTGTGATGATGGTGGAAGAAGTTCATGGGATCATAGGATCTTAGATGTGAGGCTAGAAGAGACATCAGAGGTTAGTTGTCCAATCTGACACCCTTATTTTACAGGCGGGGAAACTGAAGTTAGAAACAGAGAAGTTAGAAAACTTGCTCAAGGACACCTAGATATAGGAAGTGGCAAAGCCAGGACTTGAACTCAATGGGTAACTCCAAGTTCAGCTCTCTTTCCACTGCTCCACCCCTCCCTACGTCAGGGAAATCACAGGCTTAGCCCAAAAATAGAGTTTGACTTGAGGGGCAAAGCTTCCACTGAAGTGTTATGGGCTTCACTAATTTATTTTGGACCTAGACAACAGTTTCACTATCTAGTGACCAGATGAGATTCTCAATTTTAAAGAAGGTTTGTTGTTGGTGGTAGGGAAGCTAGAAAATAAACAAGAAGGCAACCCATGGTCATTGATACTCAAAGTCAAAACCTATATCTGGATCACAGAGACTCAAAAATTTCTAAGAACCCTCCAGCTACCAGGGGTGGGAAACCTGTGGCCTTGAGGCCACCTGTGGCCCTCTAGGTGCTCAGGTGAGGTCCTTGGACTGAATCCAAACTTCACAGAACAAATCTCCTTAATAAAATGATTTGTTCTGTAAAACTTGGACTCAGTCAAAAGACTGAACCCAAGGACCTAGAAGACCACAGGTGGCCTAGAGACCAGAGGTTCCCCAACTGTCAGTTTAATTGAATTAACCTACTATGTGCCAAGCATTGTGCTATGTCCAATGATACAAAGATAAGCATGTAAGAATCCTGCCTTTGAGGAATTTACATTCTTGAAATACCCTACCTGGAAGATGAAGACCTCTGGCCAGACTACCTCCTGAGTTGTATAGAGAGCTAAAACCTGGGTGGGGGGGGGTCAGTATAATAACCTTCTAAATGGTCTCCCTGCCTCAAATGTCACCCTACTGTGATCCATCTTCCACTCAATTGCCAAAGTGATTTTCCTAAATCATAGATCTGATTATATTACACATCCCCCTCTGTGCCCCACCATCACACTTACTAAATTCTTACAACTCTATATTACTGTCAGGATGAAATATAAAGCCCTCTGGCAATTAGAGCTCTTCATTACCTGGCCCCTTCTTACTTTTCCAGTCTTCTACTTTATTCCCCTCTATGCATAGTATGATGCCATCACACTGGCCTATTTGCAATTCCCCAAATAGGACACTCTATCTTCTATAGTCATGCCTTTGAAGTTCCCCATGCCTGGAGTGTGCTTCTTCCTTAATTCCATCTCTTAGTTTTTCTGATGTCCTTTGAGATTCAGCTCAAATCCCACCTTCTGCAGGAGGCCATCCCTGGTCCCCCAGCTACTAGTACTTTCCCTTGTGATATTACTTTCTTTCTACTTTGCACATACCTCATTATCTATATATTGTCTTCCCAACTAGAATATGAGTTCCTTGAAGTCAGAGACGGTTTTTTTTTTGCCTCCCCACTCCCCTCACCATTTACAGTGATCAGCACTGTGCCTGGCACACAGTAAGTGCTTAATATTTAAATACTTGTTGATGTCCTGACTTCCCCTTTCTTACCTTCAGAAAACTATGGGACCCATCTCTGACTCCCAACTGAAGCAAGAATAATGGCAGGTCAGAAGATAGAGGATTGAGCCCTCAAGCCTACCTCCCACTGCTCCTCATACCAGGTGACCTTGTCTGGTAAGAGAAGACTTTACAATCTTTTGGGTTACTATGTGTTACTATTTGTTACACAAATGTGCATAAGGGAAAAGAATGAAGTGTACTCCTGTAGTTTTCTATAAGACTACTCTGAAAATAACAGGTACCATCAAGAAATTGCTACTTTTGGTATAATGGAAACCTGATGCCCAGGATTGTTAAATCATCTAGTAAAGGGAAAATTTGAAAATGGGTAGTGATAACAAAGTAAGTCTAAGAACTTTTGGCTAAGAGTCTAAAAAGTTCCAAAAAAATCTGAAAGAGAATATACACTTTTGCTGATGAATAGTCTGAACAAAAAGGGTGGGACAGCTAATAAATAAGAAGGAAGGGTATTTCTCCAAACATTACCAATAATTTCATAAAGTATGACTTCAGGAAAGTTGTTAGTAGTAAAGACATGTGATATTCTATATTTGTTTTTACATGATCACTCTAATTTTTTACTTTTGCTGTACTTCCTAATGAACTTTCCCCTAATCTCCATGATATAGATACTGCATGACAATTGGTATATTCCAAAACACACTCCTCAAATGTCTCCCCTAGCAGATAAAACAAACAAACAACCTCTTAAGGTTGTAAAAGAAAGTTGCCTCTGTTGTCAATTTAAAAAAAAATTATATGCACAAAGAACTATAAACAATCCTGGTGCAACAAATATTCAGAAGTTTAAATCAGGTCATTGTAGACAAAGCAAACAAAATTACAGCATTCAATGAAAACATAACTTTATTTCGTTTACCCACAAAAACTCTACCTTTAGATTAAGTTAATATGCTAGCTCAATAAATTACTTCTCAGAAAGTTAAATTTTTTTATATTCCTCTCTAAAATGCAAAATATTGGGCTAATAACTCTTTAAAAAAACAGAATTAGAAATTTTCAAAAGCCTAGAATTCAGAATCTAGAATGCATCTTGAATTTGTATTCAGTTAATTAAATTTTAGCTAACGAGTCAGTTTAAAGAAATTTGTCTTTTCTCTTTTTGCTTTCAGAGCTTATGTAACCAACAAACCAAAGCAATAAAGTAGAATCAACTGTCAAGGAGTTAAGGTTCTGATAAACGCTTTTGAACTTAGTATTTTACTGCTAGTACACAACCGACTTTGTTTCTTTTGTTTTGCTCAACCTGCCAGCATCTAATTGGGGAAACAGGCATTAAGGGTGTTTGACAAATAGTCAGGCCGAGATATGCTGTACATATTCATACACACCAATAAATGATGAGAGGAAGTTTAAGATGCAGTAAAAATAAATTTCGAGAGTTTAGCTCTGGTTTCATATAACAGCACTTCCATAAAGCACTTAGAACACTAAGGCAGCAATATCCTCCAGATAGTACACAGGGGACACATCCTTTAAATAAATGTGTTCCTTTGCCTGAACAGAAGTTCAAACCTGCTCAATTATCATTAATTTTGTTCCTTTTATTATTATTATTTTTTTCCCCAAGCGTGAACGAAGAAGCCGCGGCCTCTGAGGCTTTGCAGGCAGCTCGTGGCCGGTCTAGGTTACTGGTGATTATTCACCCAGCCGCGTGAAAAAAGGCTTTTTTTCAGCCTTCTCTGCTACTTTGGAGAAACTGAGGAGGAAAGGGTTGTAGGCACTTTAGATCCAACCACCAACCCGCAGGTGAGTCAGTCAAGGAAAAGGGCAAGGTCGAACACAGTTTAGAAAGAAGTCCCTGTAACAAGTTCAGTGCGTGGAACAGGCTTAAAAGGCACCAAAGGCTTGTACGGCACTAAAAGCAATTGTCATAGGAAAGGACAATGAAAACAGCTACAAGAAACCTTTGAGTCCGAGAGCAGACGCAGATACAGAGGGGAATCCCCTCTTTCACTTTGGGAGCAGTTCCCCCAGAAATACTGGCGTCGTGGAGACTTGGGTAGGAATCCTTGGAGGAGTTAGGTTCGGGCATCCTGGAACTTCTGGCTGGCTCTTTTATTACAGTGACAATGGGAAAAGTGGGTGGCGAATGGGCAACTCTGTAGAGGAAGAGGGAGAAGGGAAGATTGAGGGCTGATGGGATCACATGGGAGCAGCAGTAGCAGAAGCAGTGATTTGCTCCTGCACTGTGACCTGGGACAGCAGATTTTTTTTATACTCCCCCCCCACCCCCGCCTTTTCAATCCATCGCTCTCCCCTCCTCCCCCTTCGTTCCTTTTAAAGGACTCCTTCCCGGGAAAGCTGTCAGCAGCCAGGAGAAGCTGTTTGTGCTCTGCTCAGACTAGAGCAGCTTCTCCTTCGGCCCGGCGAAGTGGGGGCGAGCCCTCGGGAGGAGGGCAGGAGCGCCCTCGTTGCCTGCCGTCTCTACTGTCTGGATGTCGCCACACGTGGGACGCCTCTTCCCTTCTTACTGGGCTCAGGTCCCTTAGGTTACTCCGGCCAGTTCGTAAAGGTGCGGGAAGAAATAAATTGCATTCTAAGACCTCCACCAGCAAGTTCCCACCTCTTGGTGTGATTCTTCCTGTGAGGAGTGGGGAGGGGGTGGGGTTGGCAGGGTGTTAGAAGCACCCCCAGGCCCAGAGAACTATGAGCGGGGTAAAAAGCTTCGGCAGCAGCAGCAGCAGAAACAGTAACAGCAGCCCCAGGAGCCTCGGCCACCGAAGCAGCAGCAGCCACAGCAGCCAGGGTAGTGGTCGCCCCTGCCCCCTCCGGCGCGTCCTGCTCTCCAGCGGATCCCACTGTAAGCGCCTCCCGTAGCCGCTCTCCTTGAGCGGTCCAGTAAGTCAACCTCCCCTGACCTCGGCCAGACAGGGTTCTCAGTTCCATTCTACCTGATGCGCCATGCTGACCTCGAGACTGCGGGGACCAGAGAGCCACTGCGACCGCCTGCCTGGCTCGTGCTGATCTCAGCGGGAGCAGTCTCTGCCGCTGGGTTAAGCCCAGGGTGCTGGGCGACGGCGCGCCCCGAGTTTCACAACTTACTGCCTAAGGGAAGCAACCGCAGGTCCTGCCTCTGCCTCCCTCCACCACATCCTCTCCTTTCCCTAAAATCCTTAGGAAAGGCAATGGGGGCGCTGCTGGCACTCTGTCTCCTCCTGGCCTGGCTGCGCTGGGGCCCCGCTGGGGCGCAGCAGGACGGCGAGTATTGCCACGGCTGGGTGGACGCGCACGGCAACTACCACGAAGGTTTCCAGTGCCCGGAGGACTTCGACACGCTGGATGCCACCATCTGCTGCGGCTCCTGCGCCCTACGCTACTGCTGTGCTGCCGCCGATGCTAGGCTGGAGCAAGGGGCTTGCACCAACGACCGAGGCGAGCTGGAGCACCCGGGCATCACCGCGCGTAAGTGTCCAGCTCCCTAGCGGGCGCAGCTCCCCATCTTGCCATCCGTGCCGGCTGTTAGCTGTTTGCTGTTTGTGTGCGCTAGTGTGTGGGTGCGCGCGCGTGCAGTCTATTCCTTCCCCCTCCCAAGGTTGAGCCCGTTCAACCAGTGGACGGAGGGAGAGAAAGGAGGGGTTGCTTTCCCGGTTCCCCTCCGACTCCCCTCACATCCCCCCCCCCCCAGGGCTAGTCCTTGGTGTGCTGGCAACAACGGGACCAGACGCGACAGGTGTGAGACCGGGTACATGGGTGCCCAATTTTGCTCCTTCTCAACCCACTTTAAATTGCAGGGCAGAGGAGGCGCGCAGCCCATTAGATAGGCGCAGGTCCTAGTGCAAATTAGCCCGAGGAAGCTGCCCCTTTCGCATTGACAGATACCAGATTTTTCTGATTTTTTAGTGCTTGGCACAGAGCCTGGCACACCCTAAGCGCTTAATAGATGCAGTTGACTTAGAAGCCAACGGCTGGCATGCTTTGCCCCGTGTACGTGGTACTGTAGGCTTGAGTGAATGTGCTTGAATTCTCCCAGTTTTCCACGTAGACTAGTGAGGTGGGGGGAGGATATAGAGAGGGGAAAGAGTCCGGGTCTGAGGTTTCCCTAGAGCTGGAAGACGTTAGTGAGTGGTGATGGAGTGTGAAACTTTACTCCTGACGCCAGTTAATCAACAGCCCCGCACTGAAGGCAAAGCCCGAGTCACTTATTCTTTTAAACCTTTCCTGCACCCCTCCCCCATCCCCTTTCCTTTCTTTGCATCAAATTACCCTTTCCCTCCCCCCACAACCAAACTGAAAACAGCGCAAATCACCGCCACCAGCGTGGCGATTTTAAAAGCCCCAGTAGGCAGCCCTCCTCCCTTTTATTCTCGCATCAGAAAACACGGGTCGAGTTTCCGCTAACTTCAGAGCTGAATAAATCACAGCCCCGACCAAGGAACCTTATACCTTAGGAAGAGAGTTATTTTTTTTCCCACCTGAGTCTTAACTTTGGGGAAACACTTTAGGCAGTGGTTTAAAGGCCAACGAAACTAGAGGAGACAGTGAGGCCAGGGAGCCCAGGGAGCCCTGACGTCGTGGAGATTTGGACGAAACACGTGAAGCAGCCCAGAGGGCAGCTCCAAGGTCGGTGGGAGATAAAATTAAGTGAAGAATCCCTTACCAGACGAAAAGGATAGCTGTTGGAAAGGGAAGGGAATACGAGCTTTCTTTGATAAGCTTTCTTTTACAATCTGGTTACTCTCCCCATTTCTTTGTGTTTGGGGGTCCCTCACATACTAGGAGGAGGATTTGGGAAGTAGTTGTGGGGAAGATTATTTTAGATGCTCGTTGTGAGTTGCCTAGTCACACCACAACAACAGCACCATTTATCGATGAATTGATTAACATTCTATGTAAGTCACTTTGCAAACTTCAAAAAGCTATATAAATGTTAGTTATTATTGTTGTCATAGAAGAAAAAGAGAGGCCGCAAATCTCTCTCAACCATTCCTTCCTCCTCATCCTTTGAGGACCTGGTTTCTTTCTTGGGTCCAAGGTACTTAAATCATTTATGCTTAATTTCTCAGGTTACTGCATTCTTGCCGCTATCAGCCTAGGAATCAATCTCTCTCTGTCCACCTGTCTCTCTCTGTGTCTCTGTCTCTCTCTCTGTCTTTCTCTCCCTCCCTCCCCCATATTTTCTTTGCAGTCAACGGAAGGACAGGAATATACCTGGCTAAAAAGGGGCAAACAGCCCCGCAGCTCACATCCCTTCAGCTGTCCTTGCCACCTCTAAACCTTTCATGTGTACCTTTTATAGATGAAGGCTTGGCCAACTTGGGTGATTTGACTCCAATAAATGGACACTACAAGAGGCAAATACATCTCACATATACTTGCATGGTATGGGTACAAATAAAAATGGAATTTGGCCTTGCTTATGAAAAAGGTTGTTATGTGGAAAATTAGGGTTGAAGACAATCAAGAATTGCAGCAGTAGCATGGTCAGTCTTTGGCCCAGCTGACCTCTCAGTAAGAATGAGGTTTAGGGGCCAAGATGCCTTGATATAAACATTGTGTCCTTCCTGGGCTGCCAGGGAGCTGTTGATAAGAAGCTGTAGATGAGACATGAAAGTCATGAAGAGGATTAGGAAACAGGGAATGTGACGGATTTTTATATGGATTTTTGGAGTTTCTTGAAACAACTTCTAAATGCAGCTCAAATAAGTCTTAGACTTTTGACTGTGAGTGGGTGCTTCTGGGACGTGAGAGAAGTCTTCAAGACAAGAGACTGATCTCAACAATATTTTGGATTTTTAACACAATCAAATTAATCCATATTAAACTCTGTTGCCCCTACCCCCATTGCTTTAGTGAGGGCAAGGGGTTTTTCAGCTGCAAAGATGTCCAAATGAGGGTAAGGTAAAGATGTGGTAACAAACTGCAGTCTCAGTTTGATTTATCCCTCTTTGGTCATAAGACCTGGAATCAATGCGCATCGGAGGTTGTAAGTAAAAAGCTTTGAGAAATGGAGTTACAAGAACTCTAACTCTACCATATCTTGAACTCAAGCCAATGAGCAGCCAGAAGACACCTTTAAGCAGAACTGGAAGGCATGGAAAGTCTTTAACAAGGGTGTCTTCCCTTTCTGTCTTCTTTTTAGAACCAGTCTACGTGCCATTCCTGATCGTTGGCTCCATCTTCATCGCCTTCATTATCCTGGGCTCCTTAGTAGCTATTTACTGTTGCACCTGCTTAAGACCTAAACAAACATCTCAGCAGCCCATTCGTTTCTCACTTCGAAGCTATCAGAATGAGACCCTACCCATGATTCTGACCTCCACTAACCTCAGGACGCCGTCAAGGCAGTCCAGCACTGCGACCAGCTCGAGCTCCAATGGAGGCTCCATTCGAAGGTTTTCTTTCGCCAGAGCCGAGTCCGGTTGTTTGGTGCCCTCACCTCCCCCACCTTACACATCAGGCTGTTTACAGACAGGTCATTCAATCCGCCTGACCCAACCATCTGGATTCCTGGTGTCACCGCAGTATTTTGCTTATCCCCTCCAGCAGGAGCCAACACTTCCTGGGAAAAACTGCTCGGACTTCAGCCCAAGTTGATAGGAATAATGCAGCTGAGAGAAAGACAAGTGGAGTGTGTTTTGAGTTATGTTCATGTTAATACTTAGATGATGTTCTGGGGCATCAGAACAGATCATCATGGAGAAATATTTCTTTTCTAGAAGTAATATGTTCTCTCATTTGGATCGCACAAAATGGATGTTTTAGGTAATTGCTTTTTTCCTTTTTTTTTTTTAAAGGTGACCATTACATTTTAATTTGCTATCTTTACTCGTAATTTCAGCAATTAGAAGTTTAAACCAGTTTCTGTTGAAAACATTTCATTGGTCAGCTCAAAACATTAGTTGTATATAAGATATTAGAAGTTACTCTTTTAAGCCCAAGTGGTTAATTTAATTATAATGAAAAAAGGAAGTACCTGATTCTAGTTATCAGAAATTCATTGAAAAAAAAAACCTTAATCACTTCTTAATAAACTAAGAGAACCCTGAGCATCTTGGACAGTATTTAAGTATGTTGAGATAATTATTGTATTAATAATCACACAACTCAAAATACATACTTTTCAGAAGGCAAGACAATATGAAAAAAATTTAGTAAGTAATTTTCATTGTTAGGTAAATCCTAACTAAACTTTCTTCCTAGGAATATTTATTGTGAACTTTTGTTCAGTGATATTTAGTATACAAATGAAAGTTGGACAATTGAATCTTAAAGTTTTATTTGTAAAATTAGTTATGTAAAAATGTCAAGATATTTGTAATTTAATGTATTTACACATTGACAATACTAATTATTTAGTTATCACACTGAATTTTTATGTTAATAAAAGCTGTGGTTAAAATTCCCGTTATTGTTAATCTGTGCCATATAGCTAAGACCAAGTGGCCTTTGAGCTAAGACCAGTATATTTTTGTACACATCCTGTTGTGAGATGCAGCAAAGTGATTTGCTTTTGTGAAAACTTTTTAGTTTTTAATCAAAGCACCTCGTTTTATAGGAGACCTATGTAAACCACTTGATAGTCAGTAAAAGAGACATACATATATTAATGAATTTAGAAATCTAGTAGTATCTAACATTGAATTTAAATTGCTTTAAAAAGCAATCTCTTGTATCTGATTATAAAAAGTATGCAGGCTATAAGCATATTTTCAGCATTTACTATATGCTAGGCACTGTGCACCTAAAAAAGGTGAAGAAAGTTAGCAAAAATGTTATGTATTATCATGTCTTCCTTTCTTTTACGACAGTCACTTATAGACTTATAGACAGTCACTTATCAGAGATAGACCCTTATGATTATCTAAAAGCAACATGGTTTCTATATGTCCCCAATTTATTTTTAAAATGTACAGTTGAAACTTGTGCTAGTGATAATGGCTTGTACTAGTGACACAGGTTGTAACTATTTTCATAAAGAGTCTTTTTCATACAATGACTACGTCACTACAAGTGAAACATATGTGTTGAGGTTTTTCTAGTATCGATTGTGGAGGATGCAAGTAAATATCAAACAGTTCCTTTACTCAGGAAACCTGTTCACTGGCTGACTTATCTAAATCTTGGTATATCCCCAGATGATAAGTATAAACATTTGCTATGACTTAAAGGTTCAGCCTTGGCCTATGAAACAGCACAACTAACAGACTTACAGCGATCAAACTGCAACTTCAGCATTGTCAGCAGTACATTTTAGCCAATGAGCTTATTGGCTATAAATAATTGAAAGATTTTATTTTTTTAATAACTTATTAGTTAAAATTGTACTATACCTTCTCTTTTTATTTCTCTAATAAATTCATGGGAAACCTGTTTAAAACAAATCTATTGATGAGAGGAATTTAATAGGGTTTCTGAAGTTAATTTATTATAAATCTTTAAAACCTCAACCTTACAAGTCTTTCTAAGCACTTATTTCCACTTTAAAGTGGTCATTAACTTCCAACATAGTCACACTCTTCAGCACTGCTGATAATGTACACTTAGAAAGATAGCTTCAAGAATAAGGAGTTTCCTGTACATAGCATTGTGAAAGCAGTCCAGAATGATTAAGTTGCATAATACACATCCATAGAAAATATACACCATTTGTATGAGTTTATTATAAACCTAGAGAGAAAAGGGACCTATGGGAGATCCAGGGCAATCCCTTCATTTCATTGATGAATAAACAAAGGCCCTGAAAGAGGAAGCAACTTGTCCAATGCTTAAGCAGTAGATACACTATTGCCACTTTTCCCACACCATTTAAAATGGCAATTTCAGAATAATTTCATCATATTTTCACATGAACTCAATTAACATTTCTTAATCCAGTGTGTGGTATAAGCCTACAATAAAGTACCCCTCTATGCCCTGGATTTGTTTGTATAGATTAGATGTTATAGTGAGGCAAGTGTAGGAATATAGTGACGTAACATAGAAAGTCTATAAAATAAACAATGTTCTTGCTGTCTGCTGAGCATCAGTGTTACGGTGATGCACAGGAATGTCATGTTTTCAGACAACAGGACAAAAGGGTTCTGTGACATTTAATGCATTTTTAGCAATTGCCCCATGATGTAAGAGGGCATTCCTCTGGTGTCTTTCAGTGATTTGTGTTGCCTGCAGCCTGCTGATTATATCCAGTAGAATAAGAGGCAAGGTAGTCCCCTTTCCCAAATGACTACATAACTAGATGATTAGGTATAAATTGCACTTGATTATTGTTTTAGTTAAACTATCAATGTTCATCTGCATTAAACAATTTTTTGTGGATAATGTGAATTCTACATTTCAAAAAATTGGCACATATCTGACCTTATTTCCTGGGGGTGGGGTGGGGACTTTTTTGCTGACCTACTTTTCAGGCAATCTATTAGAAGGAAAAGTTATGATCAATTCATATGATGCTAACAAAAAACAGATTTCTTTGATAGAGAGTTCTCTATAATAAACAGGGAAAATTGCCTTGACTCTTTAGAAATAATTAATCCTTGGCTATTGACTAAATGGGGCAGTGAGGTGGTAAAGTGGATAGAGTGCCAGGTCTGGAGTCAAGAAGACTCATCTTCCTGAGTGCAAATCTGGCACCAGACAGTAACCATGTGACCCTGGGCAAACCACTTAACCCTGTTTCCCTCAGTTTTCTCATCTGTAAAATGAGCTGGAAAAGGAAATGGCAAACCACTCCAGTATCTTTGCCAAGAAAACCCCAAATAGCGTCATGAGGACATGACTGAAAAACAACCAAACAACAAATTGACAGAACATTTAAGATAACTGATTAGCTTCCCTTTAAACCCAACAAACCTACCACTACATCAATGTGTACTTGGGAATGGCAAACTTATTTTATTATTGGCTTAAAAGAAAATAATTAAGCAGATTTGCTAAATAGCTAGGTGGGACAGCAGATGGAGGATGTGGAGTCAGGGAGATCTGAGTTTTAAATTTAGTCTCACACCCTGGGGCAAGACACAACTTCTGTATGCCTCAGTTTCCTCATTTATAAAATGATATACAAAGAGATATTTGTGAAGTACTTTGCAAACCTAAAAGTGTTATATAAATTGTAGTTATTATTATAAAATCATCCATATAATACATTCCAAAGGCAAACATAAATAATTTAATTGTTTTTTTTTGGATAATCTATTTTACTGTGTGGGTAATCCCATTAGTGTTGGTGAAAAGCTTTTAAATTGTCTGAATGGATGACATTCTTGGGGGTTTTCCCTACTTTTTTTCCTCTTCTGCTGGGGGAATTTCTTTTTAACCAACAGTATATCTAAAATTTGAAATTTGTAGACAATTATTCCTATTTTTAATTAAGGAATTTCCATAAATGAAGGTGGGATTAAACTCAATTAAGATGTATCCAAGACTGTTTAATTTACTTTTGAAAGCTCACAGTAGAAAGTGGTGGACTTTTGTATTGAAAACTTGGGTTTAAAAGCCAGCTTTGGTACCACCTGGCAAGTCATCTGACCTCTCTGGTCCTCAATTTCCTAATCAGTAAAATAAGAGGGTGGTACTAGATTACCTCCAAGGTCCCTTCTAGTTTAAAAAAAATTATACATATATATATATTATATATGTATATATATATAAATCCTATGACCTGAGGTAGAATTAGTACCATAAAAACATCCTTGAATGTGTTATGCATAGTAAAACTATAGTAATTTGGGACTCACAACTTAGGAATTTGTGATGGTTGTCCTGGGATGGACTGAAATTTACTGTCATACTATCTGAATAAAGAATTTACTTAGAGCATTCATAGTGAAAAAAGACTCTGGGGATATGCCTAACCTAAATAAAAGAAACTGTTATCATGCTATTTATCTGCATATAATTGCTGCTAATTGCAATTAATTATCTGGCCTGACAAAAATTCTGTTGAAACTCTAGTTGTTGTATATTCTTGAAAGTAATAAAATGAAATTTCGTAAATATTCTGTATTCAGTATTTTCCACACCTTCTGACTAGTAACTCTTCCAATTAGTCCAAGTTGATGATGTATTGTTCTTCCAATTAAGATGAGATGGTTTGTGTTTTTAAAAATAGAGAAATATGAGGTCAGAAATGCTGAGTACACAGAAAAGTAAACCACACTTGTGGGCAAAGGATTTCAAAATTCTATTATAATATATATCTTAAAGTAGACAGGACAAGTACAATGTGTATTAATTTCAAGTGTTCACTTAAATCTGCTAATATTTCAGGAATAATCTAAGAGTAAACATTTTCTATATAATCCCCACGTGTCTTTTTAAAATCTGTAGATACTTATAATGGGTAGGAAAGGAAAGGAGAGAAATTGGATATTATATTGCCAAAAACCAAACCTGCCACCTCACTTTGATGCGGTCTAAAGTTTTTTTTTTCCCACTCAAAGTTCCATTTTCCCAATTGTGCCCATGTTCACTTAGTCCAATTCAGTAGTTTACCAAATCATAAGTTCAGCTTTTTCTAAAAAAGAAAGAAAAAGATCAGACTCCTTTCTACAGTTCAGCTTCCTTTTTTTTTAACCAAGAAGCAACTGTATTTGCCAAAGGTATGACCCCCTACCCTTAATTAATTTCTAGTGTTTTACCTTGATCCAATTCTTATCCTTCTCTCCAAATTTCACTTGAGCTTTAAAACTTGTCACGGTTTCCTATTAATCCTGAAAGAAGTCGACTTTGTGTTTGTGTGTGTGTGTGTGTGTGTGTGTGTGTGTGTGTGTGTGTGTGACAGAAACAGATAGACACAGAGGCAGATACACACACAGAGACACTCAGAGAAATCAAGAGACACACAAAGGGAGACTCCTAATTCTTTTGATGCAGATTGGTAATAGGTGAACTAAATGAGTGATTTCTCAAAAAAAAAAGTTCATGCAACATGAATGGACTTAGCTTGAACTAATTATCTATATTACAGAGTTGCTCTTTAATTGTTATAGCTAATAGGAATGCTGAGATTAAAATTGATTTTGGTGAAAACAAAGCTGAAGAATATTGAGTAGCATTGAATATCAATTAACAATAAAACAATTTTCTCTTTCTCTTCTTTCCATACAAGTAAAACACATAGTTCCAAAGCAGAGTGAAAGTAAACTCAATTGTCATTATGTTTCACTTCATCAGTTTAAAAGGAGGGAATGTTTTGTGGATTGTAGGTTTCAAAAAGCAAATTATTTTCCAAAGCAATATCATGTACAATGTTTTAGTTTTTGTACATCATGCAGGTTGAAAGAAACTCAAACAACCATTTGGTAATTTTTTGGACCAGTATTGAAAACATGAAGACTTTTCTTTATGTAATGACATATTTTATTTCATTTTTAATAACAATTAAAAGACAATGCATTTAAAATTTGCAGGTCAAAACATGCACGTTCACAAAATGCCAGTGACATGTAACACTGCACAGAACTGAACATTACTAAATTTTAGTAACTATTTATAAAACACAGTGCATTTAATGTCAAGTTAAAACAAACCTGAGAAAACTACCATAGACATGGAGTCAAACAACTATCCGCTCATGCAACTGTGAAGGTCCCTCAACAGCTTCTGCAGTAGCAGTGTGGTGCAGTCTGACAATCCTACCTCCTCTTTAATGCAAACTATAGTTTTGTCTTGTCGCTGCTTTTAATGTAGCACTTTTCACTTAATATACATTGAAATACTTAAGTCAAAAATGAAGCTCAAGGTAGGAAAAAAATGCACTGCTAACTGTATTTATGGCTTCTATTCTAGAACAACAAAACACAAACATAATCTTTTTATATATTCTGGTCACATTTTTACAACAAGAGATTCACTTATAGAAAGTCAGAATTAGGAATAAGCAGATATGAAAATCCAATCTTCAGAATGCTACCATATTTCCTACTTAAAAGGTTTGTTTGCCAAGAAACTTTAAAATGCAAAATTCTGTCCATCAATCCAAATAAATGATTTAGTTAAATATGCTGAAATTTGTTTGAAAAGAATCTACTCCTCTAGAGAGTTCAAACTGAGGACCAATCCATTTGCCTACCGAACATTAACCCTTGGATATACTATGATATGACTTTGGAAGGCAGAAAGAAATATCAAGATTTATAGCAAAAGCCATGCATTTTCTCAGGCCATTTTAAAATATTAATTCATGCAGACAAATCATAAACTCATCAAAAGCACAGCTGCTTTTACATAGAAAATGAATTGAGATTTTAAAAGGGAAAAATTCATTTCCTTTCCTTTAAAATTTAACATACATTCCAATTTTATGATGTCCAAGGTTAATTAAAATTCAACAAAGTAGAAGTTTCATAAATGATATTTAGTTATTTATATGAGAAAAATTCACAATATGGTAACCTTTCACAGGTATGGTAGAAATTTTCATTATCATCATCTCTTTTATTAGGCACGTAATCACGGGTGGTATTATATGCTTTACAAAGAGAACCGCACAAACCTGGTCCCTCTGGTGTGCATGTGTATGTGTATGTGTATGTGTAGGTGTGTGTGTGTGTGTGTGTGTGTGTGTGCACGCGTGTGTATATTTATCAGTTATGTGGGGGGACAATTTTTTAGAAACTGATTATTCCTAAGCCTACTGATTCATTTGTAGAAAGACTTCTTAAATGAGAACTGCCACAGGGCAATTTTACATACAGACAAAAATCATTGAGGATTACCTAGCTATGCAATAATTATGACATGGTTCTAAGCATTTCACAACTGTTTGTAAGAAATCAATGATTTATAGCTGGCATTGTTTATGAAAGGGGATTTTAAATGCAAAGTTATTATTAAGCACTGCACATTATGCAGAATTTCACAATACCAAGTTCAAAAATTGTAATCTGTTTCACAATAAGATTTAATGTTCAATAACTGACCATTTTTTCTCACTTGAAATTAGCAGGAGTCACTGGCTTAGCTTAATAAGCATACACAAAATGCATGAAACTAACTCTATTGAGCAGGGGACATGTTAAAGTGTGTTGCACATCTGACCTAATTTGCAATAGGTGAAGTTTGCCTAAAGTCTTTTTTCTCAACTAAAATATCTAGACCATTTCCACATTTTTTTTTTTAAAACTAGCTTCCTGAGAAACACCATTAGGCTGTTAACAATTTTTTTTTTAAGAAAATAGCAACTACTTGGTGCAAATATACAATCAAAACCCTGATACAGCTAGATAAGTTGAAATTTCCACATGAACTCAAATTTATAAGTGGTAGTTCTTGTGAGGCAATGTTTCCTTTGTGCCTAATAGTAAAAACCAACAGGGGATGTCTGATTTCCAAGACAGACATTCTGCCTTAGAACAGGTTACAAAGAGAGGAAGGTAGAATCAGTGTACCTCACCTCTACTAATCCTATGAAAACTTTTTTTTCTTATGAAGAAGGTAACAAGGAGTCTTAAAAGTAGCTGTGATTTGCTCTAACAGGGTAAAGACCCTATGATTAAATAGCAGATTTTAAGTTTTTCTAAGATTTGATTTCATGAAAATGGAGATGGCTTTTTTTTTTTGGTTAAAATGTTCTTTTATGGAATAGAAATGTGAATATTACTGATAACAGAAATTTATATAGTACTTTCAAGTTTACAAAATGCTTTATACTCATTTCATAATATCCTACCAACCATATGAAATAGGTACTACGGGGATTATAGTCTTCATTCTACAGATGAGGTAAATGAGACTCAGAGAGGTAAATTACCTTGGCCACCCTAAGTGTCAGTGGCGGAATTTGAATTGTTTTCTTTTCTTTAAATCCAGTACCCTATCCTCTAAGCCAGACTGTAACTCCATTGCTAGTAGAAATGGAGTCATGATAAATTAATGTTTGTTTGTGTAAATTTGAAGACAATCATTTATATAGGTATATTCTATTAAATGTTAATGAATTTCACCAAAGTAAATCATGGATCAATAATTTAAGTATTACCTTCTTCAGGCCAGGAAATTCAATTCTATCCCATTGATAAATTTTGGAAGTTAAGGCCTTGGGAAGAGTGAGATTGATGAGGGGCAGGAAATAGAAGTAGAATTCTCTTTTTGAAAGTCCTATTTTTTTTTTTGCAGATGGGATATATTTACTTCTTTTTGAATATTTGTGGTTCTATCTCAACTATCTTTACTTGGATAGAACATAAATACATATATGGACCCAGGGAAGGGATGACTAAAGACAAATTTAAAAGAAGGAATAAATATTTTTAGACATTATACATTTTAAACTTTAAAGATGACATAATTCATAAAATAGCTCTATCATCCAACATTCAACTCTTCAATGATCTTTCTGGATTATGATTCCTTAAATCTTTATCTCTGCATATGGATTTGGAAGTGAGCAGACCCTGGACTAAAACTAAGTTGAATGTGTGACATCTTTTTGTATGTACAAATTTGTAAGAGAGAAAGGAAGGGGAATTTACTTGGCAAAGGAGTAAGTAGAGAATAGCTACGGATACAGTGAGTGAAATGATTCTTTTGCCATAGAACCAAAGAAGTCCAAAAATGAAAGGGACCTTAGATGGCCTAAATTTGAATTTAGAATGATGTACACTTATGAAACTCAAGGGTTGATTTAGTAAACTATCCTTTCTTAAAAACTGAAGGCTTACAAAATGATTAATATGTATTTTATATTAGAAAAAAAATTAAAAAAAAAACCAACAAAAGGGTTTGCTTTGCTTTGCTTAAGAAAAAAGAAACACGTTTCATCATCTCTTAGGCATCTATTGTCCACCGAAAGGCAAATCTGCTACTCACCAAAAGGCAACATGTGTTTCAATCTACTATACATATCTGAAAATTGGAATTCTCTTTATCCAAGATAAAAGTAATATGTTTAAAATGGGAATACAAATTTGCTTATGCTTTATCAAGCATATTTTGTCACTTGCTTTTAGTAGCAAAATCAGCATTTTTAATAGATAGTTCAGAAGTGTCAAATGAAGTAAACATTCATTTAACAAACATATCAATACAACCTATTTATAATAAGAAGCACTCCTCATTTCCAAGCAATGGGCTTGGGTAAAATGGGCAATTTTTTTTTGCAAGTTGAAAATGTGTTTTTTCAATTAGCATGTGATTCATTTTAGTTAAAAGAAATGTGGTAGCTACCTCTGACAACTGAACTGCAAACTAATTACTCATTCTTAAATATAGATTACATAAGGCTTGGCTGAATAAGACAGCGGTAACCTCAAAGGGGAACTGGAAGGTAAAACTAAAGTACGATATAAAAGCAAATGCATTTATCTGATGTGGTATTCCAAATATTTGAATGGAAACTTTGGAAATCTTATATAAATATGCAAATGTATTTTTCTCAAGTGGAAAAAAAAAGCTCCTCTTAGGACTTTACAATACCATGTCAGGCCACAAAATTTAGAGCACATAGAAAACATGGAAATACATTAGAACTGGCTAATAGATATAAACACAACATTAGAAAATTACCGTCACAACTAAGAGAGTAGCCATATTGAAATGTACCTCTCTGACACTGACAGATAAATGAGACAAGGAAGAAAGAAGCATTCGTAAGGCTAAAGGTGCAAAACGTTACAGATTTTAGTAGCAAACGCCATAGACGAAACCTGAATTTGACTCATTTTTGCAAACTGATCATCTTATAGATAAAAAGTCAGGCATGCAGTTCTGACAAAATGACAAGAAGGAAACTTCCTTTGACATTTCTGTGCAAATGGCTACTGAAAGAGAAATACATTTATTGAACTTCTTTGGCAAACATTTATTAGGACGGTTTTGACGACTAACAACAATTGATGCTTTGCTTAGACATTTTGCTCTGGAAGGTGAGTCCGCCCCTTAAAAATGCTGGTTTTCAGCTCATTTTGAACATGAGTCCTGTTACCAGTCCCTCTACATAATGCCATTTCACATTTTTTCATAAATGGTAAAGATCTGTCATCATATGATATATTCAGTAATCTCAGCATTAGCTTTATCCCAAGGTGTGGAGTAAGAACAACACTGAAAGAGCCTCATTTTAAGTAAGCAGTCTGGCAGGACACAAGGTCATTTTCAACTTCTGTTTACAAAGATTAAGCACATACTTGTTTATAAAACTTTGAAAGAGATGTTGTTACAGTATAGTCGCACAGTGCTTATGTCTACAGAATAGATGAATCAGAACTTCACGCAATGACATCAGCACAGATCTTTTTTGTAACTTCCTGGACTGGCGTTATTTAGCCGATTCCAGTAAAGACCTAGTAGGTTGTCTTTCAGAAGTAAGTATCTGAGCCCACTTCTTAAGCAAAGTCCCTTTCACCATTCATCTGGTCTTTGTTTTGTGGTGTCATAAGCTCTAATCACTTCAGACTGTGAAACTATTCCATTTTCATCTTGAGAGAAAGCATATCCATCTAGAGATACAAAAGAAAATAGAAATTATTTATAATGAGCATCTGGAAGTAGACTAGGAGGAATTCTTGTCATTTGAGAGTTTTGAATATTCACATATTGTGGGTTCCATTCCAACTATACATGTATAGGTGATCATACTTTGCTTTTACTACGTTTCATGGTGGTACAGACAAATAGGTCATACTCCTATTCCCCTTTGGCCCTCCTCCCCTTGGGTATCGGCCACCTCCTCTCTCAGCTTGGTTCTGCCACTGAGGATGTGCTCTTTGGTCAACATGTTGGGAAATCCAAGGGCAGGATCAACATGGGGCAGTGTCTCTAGGTTTCCCTACTCTCAGAGCTCTCTAGAATGCATTCTCCATTTATGTCAAAAGTCTCCTATATTTTAAAATGTAGTTAAAAAAAAGTTACAGTACACATAAATAAAAAAAAGATATGCAAATAACACCAAGCTAATAAAAAAAACTAAGCATTAACAATATGAATGAGAAATTTACTTTGGGTCTGATGATACAGGAAAGGTTTTAAATAATAATGCTTATTTTTAGATCCTTATAATACTAGAGGTAGAAGTATCTAACCAATTTCATAAGTGTTTGCATATTTATGACTACTTTTAGTGAAAAAAGAAAAATAGATTATATTTTGTTTAATGCAAGAACCCCACTCCTTTTGCAAAACAGACCAAGTAAAAAAATTATCTCTTATAAAAGATAACGTTCATTGTCCAAAATACTTACTTTACCATATCCCGTCACATCTTACCATTGCAACCTTTCTGAAATGTGGCAAAGGATCACGAAACACAACATTTTTTTGCTTGTTTTGTTGATTTCTTACTTTTTGTAGCTATATCATAAAGATAAATTTAGACTGCTGGGCTAAAGGAATTTTCTTCTGATATGTTAATTGTGTGCTTTATTTTGCAATGACATCATATTTTTTTTTTTGTACCAGGCAATGATTTTTATATTGTGATAACACCACAGAAACCGTATTTCAAAAATATTTATGAATCATGCCAATGTATTTTTTTTTTAAGGAAAAGTACTAATTAAAGATAAACACTTACGGAGTAGGTTTTGTTGCAAAGATTCAGAACGGTACAAGTTCACATGATTTTTCTTAAAGACATTCTTCAAAAGTTGTGCTCTTTCTGTTAGACTACCAAGAAAGTGCAAACATGTGAAACACAGAATTATATATAATAAAATATGCAAATGATATACGAGCTTAACCTAGGGGCCAGTAGAATAAATAGAGAAACTGTAAACAAAGTATTTCTTTATGAAATTTGTAATCTATTGGCTTTGCTTTTTTTAAAAATATGATTCATGCAACCCCAGTTTGTATTATACACCTCACCATAAGCTCTGTTTTCATAGTTGAAGGAGAACACTGTACCTAATAATTCAGTCAAAAGAAATGTTTCTTTTTAATGTCCTGTATTTACTTAACGTAAGTAAATGAGGACAGAAGTGCCAGGGATTAAAAAAAAAGATGATTTTAAGTGTTTCTGCTTAATTTAATAATTATGGCTCAAGATATGCCTGCAAAGACTTCTTAAATCAAATTGCACTACATCAGGTACAATGAGTCACTTGGAAAGCCTGAGTGAAAAATCAGTTTTACTGAGAGATAATAATATTGTATATTGTAATATTATTATAACATTCTAATATTGTATTACAATATTATAATTATACAATTATAATATAATATTACAATAATATTGTAACCAATTGTTTTATCCTTCTATGGCATTTATTCATTTTATATTTTAGCATCACAAAACCATGGAACATTTTCTACTGTGGGTATTATCTCAGGAGAGGAATAAGGATGAATCAGTTCCATGCACATTTTAAGTTACGTCAGTTATGCTGGCATACTATAGGATCATTCATTGACTAAGATTTGGGAAGAAATTTGGAGGTCAGTTAGTCCAGTCTCTTCAATTTATAAATGAGAAAACAGTCAAGATGCCTGCATATCACTTACAGATGAAGAATTCAGATACTGTTAATTGAGTTATTAGATTCAAAATGTATTCTACGATAGATAATATTCTAAATATATCATGTTGGCTGGGGGCAAAAAAACCCTTTTAATTATAAACATGTTTTTTCATATTGTCTCTTAAGGTACAAAATTATGTTTTGGGAAATAAAAAAAATCCCTGAGGATGTTACACTTACATAAAGAAGGGAAATTAACACTATGTAAATACTGTACATAGCTCTCTAGTCAGAATAATTCAAATACTACTGGGATATAGTGACAGAAAATGTGTTTATAATTTTATTTTTAAAATGTGAAGCTCAAACTCTTTTTAGAAATAATTATACAATATAACACAGCAAGGGAAATATTTATTTTTAATAGATTTTCCTACTAGTCTTTCTGACAAAAGTAAATTCATACAATTAATCAGGTAATTATTGAAAGCATGCCTCAAGGAATATTTCTTGATTTAAAAATCACTCACATTATTTTGTTGACTAAGATAACCAACATACCCTAACTTTACAATGAAGCCAGCCCTCCCTTGTTTGATAAGGAAAATTGACTCTAATTGATAGATATGGAAAAATATGGATCAGAATGAATGAAAACAGGGAATCAAATGTTTTTCAAGAAATTCAAAACTGTTATACAGTTTCCTTTCTCTGACAGAACTGACATGATTATAGAGATAAATTTTACCACTTAAAATGATATTGCTATTTTAGAGGCTTTGATTATTTAAAAGGTAGTTTTTTCCTCTGATCTCCCCAGTTGATTCTGACCCTTTTCCTTAGACTATCCATGGTTCTTTGTGTTTTAACTTAAATGGATTTTTTATGAAGTAGTATTTCATATTCATTCTCAGTTTGGCTTATTCTCCTATTAGACTCTAAGTTCCTCAAGAGCAGGATGCATTATGTCTCTCTAGGGGTTAGAACAGGGGTGGGGAACCAGCAGCCTTGAGGTCACATGTAGTCCTCTAGGTCCTCAAGTAAGGCCCTTTGACTGAATCCAAACTTCACAGAACAAATCCCCATTCAGTCAAAGAGCCACATTTGAGGACCCAGAGGGCCACATGTGGCCTCGAGGTCACAGGTTCCCCACTCTTGGGCTAGAATGTTGTACGTGTGGTAGGCACATAATAGATGTTTATTCCTTGTAGATGCTTTAGGTAGATCTGTGATTTCAGTGATATGAGTAGTCCTTCTACCAGTGTAAATTACTGCTTTTTCTGTGCCTTCTCCTCCTCTGCAATTGGGATCCATGTTTCTTTGTAAATATTCTATAGTGGATAGAATTATTTATGTCTGTATCAAGATTATCTTTGATGAAAACATTAGAAGGGAATAGGCAGGCTTTCATGAATGAGTTTCTAATTCAAACCTCCATCTTCATAGTCACATAACAGACTGAAAGGTATAGAAAATATGTATTTTGGTATATAACCTGAAATTATATTTATAGTGATCTGTCTTACAATATTTGGTGCAAACAATGCAAGGTCATATAACTAAGTAGTCAATGTTTCTCACTGTCCTTTGAGTACACGATAAGCCTAACTCCTCCAACTCCTTTATTTGTCTATCCATGGAAAATACTTAAACCTCCCATTTAGCTACAACATCTTTAGGTTTTCTGACTTTATTTACTGTGAATTTACAGAGAGTTTCAATACGGATATAGCTCAGTTCTTTCAGCAATGTGTTTTTCACATTTTACAAAACAATGGCAAATTAAAAATGTAAAGTTAAATGACTAATTGTAATAGTCTAATTCTACTACTTGGGCAGCTAGGTGGCATAGTGGATAGAGCTCTGGGCTTGGAATCAGGAAGACTCATCTTTATGAATTCAAATCTGACCTCAGACATTATCTATGTGACCCTGGGCAAGTCACTTAACCCTATTTGCCTCACTTCCTCATTTGTAAAATGGGCTGGACCTGGTAAATCACTCTAGTATCTCTGCCAAGAGAACCCCAAAAAGTGGGACATGACTGAAAAAGACCGAACAATAACAAAAATTCTACTGGTTGGATAACCCAATAACTGAGGAAGCTTTAGTACCCCTCTATCCTTCCTTCTAACTTACCCACACACTCCATCATTACTGCAGATGTGTAAAGGAGCACAGAGTTAAAGGCCACTTTGCATTTTTATAATTTTGCTGAAGGGTGTCCAATCTTCTGGTGATGAATCTCACCATTCTTAACAAGGCTGGTTATTACATAGCTGATACAGCCTGTTGCTATATCTATTTTTGAAGTCTTTCCAACTAAGTAGAATCTCTCAATGACTCTCATCATTATTGAGACCCAGTGCTACTATCACATTACAATGAAGCCCTGGAGTAAGGCTTCTATGGAGGCTCCAATTATATTGTTATAAACTAGAGTTATATTTTGCCCCAATTCTTTTAGAAATCAAAATAAATTATATCTATATCATGAATGTTGAAAGTAGGGGCCATTGGAGAATGCAAATCTTCTAATTAGGCATATCATCAATTGTAATGAATAAAACAAAATGTCCATAGGATAGTACTGAAGTTTTGGAGATTATAGTTATCTTTTAAACATATTGGAGAAGGAAATGGCAAACCACTCCAGTATCTTTGTCACGAAAACCTCAAATGGGGCCATGAAGAGTCAGACGTGACTGAAATAACTGAACAACAATAACAAAAACATATTTCAAAAGTGCTGAGTGTTAAAGTCCTTCTTAGTTAAAACAAATAGAAAATTCCACGTTGTTATTGGGAATACTTATGCAGACTTCATGCATAACCACATTAGTTCTGCAGATAGTAGCAAAATTTGTGTTTTGCAATGGAATAAACAGATACGGAGAAGAAGAAGGTGCCATTTTTACATAGTCACTTTTCTAACTATAACTACTCTTTAAATGATATAACATTACAGGCTTGAGTACCCTGTGGGATCCTAAAATATGTAACCGCTTTGAGGAAATAGGCAGCTTTAGCAGCAGGTGGTCTAATTTTGTTAGCAGAACCACTGGCAATTGGGGTGGTTGGAAGCTCTGGCATTTTATGCTGAAGTGACTAGACAATAACAAGGTAGGGCAATTTCAAATATATCATGCTACAACTTCCTTATCAAAAATATTTCTAGAAGGTTTCATACCATTTTCCCTATGTATATAATGTCCTAATGTGAAAATATAAATGTGTTTAGATGGTGTATGTGAAAATTAACCTATATATCATAGATCTCTAAATAGGAGACAGTCATTTTCATTTGTACAGGTTTGTAGCTTCACAGCGGAAAACTGCATCTAACCAACTGTTTATAACGAGGTAATGTTCCACGTTAGCTGAGTAATGTTAAACGTTGGCCTGAAGGGCTGTCTAATGTTCAATGAAAAAAGAAAACACCCAACCTGTTCCCTTTCCCTGAGGTTCAAGCAATTTAATTTGCCAGTTCAATCAGAAGAGATGCAATCACAAAATAGCAGGTGCTTTTACCCTTTAAGAGTGTGTTTTGGTTTAAAAGCAACTCCTCAGGCTAATGTGGAACATAAACATATTGTTGAACATTAGCTAGAACATATGTGTGTACACATACATACACAGAAATGGTACTTTGTCATGTAAAATATCAAACATTGATATGCATGCCTTTTTGTTCCGTCTCGATTTAATAGTTAATTCTTTACCATAGCATATAAATATAAATGCCATGCACAGGAGGGAGCATAGTAAACATTATATGATGAGGAATGGTATTTCTCTAGTATTTCACCTATAGTGAACCTTTCAACTTAGAATTTATATGCCTTTCAACAAGAACTCTGTTATATTTAAAAAATGCTCTTCAGTGCCATGGATATTTATGGTTACCAATATTTACTGTAAAGTAATAACTTCTACTCTACTGAAAATATGTGATACATATAAAGGAACAAATAAAAATTCTGTGTTTTTGCTGCAAAAACCCACCACAGAAAATGAAGAAAAATTTTCTCTACCTACCTCATCATAAATCTACTTCATATCACATTTATTCTCTTTCTCAACATTAGGCTATGTTAGATTTTGTATCATATCCTAGAGCCCTATGTAGTATTGTGGTTAGGTGATGTCACACAAAATTATGAAATTCAATTAAAAGTTCGGCTCCAACTGCCACTTAAACAGATGAATTATTTCTATAATCATTAAAATAGAGCAGCACAGAATATTTAGTGAAAAGTGAGGGCATAGACATATCATTTGAAAAGCAATACTTTTTTAGATATCCCAGCAATAGGTAATACAGTACAGCTAATAATTCATTATCTGCTAACTCATATTTTGTTATTTAGTGTATTTGTAAACTTAAATATTTTTTATTAAGTTCAGTTGGCAAGTTATTTTGTTCAACTTATTAAAACTAACCTCCAACATGTAAGTGATGACCACGTCTATATCTCTTTTACATCAAATTCTGGAATCGTGGTATTTCAGGCGATTGCTGTCCATAATTAGTTCTGTGATGATATCCAGTTGGCTTAAACTAGACCCAGATGGTAGTAGTGAGTTGGTACAGGAATAGCCAGGGGTATGACAGCACAATGGTTGTGGATTAACTCTTGGTGAAATAATTCTAAGATTTAACTAACCTTAGTCCCACATATCTATCTTCCACTTTGCTATCACTTCAAATTATATGTCTGCTAGGCCAGGAGCTTATGAGATAGACACAGAATATCATATTTTTGTTGACACACTTCTGACATTAAAAAAAAAAACCTGTAAAATTTAAAATGGGGCTTGGGGGGACAGGTCAAATGTCATTGTGAGGCAAAGCAAGTAATAAATTCACCCCCTTTTCAAAATTCTCTTACAAAGTTCTTTTTGTAAAAACATCTTAGGATAATTCCATGCCAGCTTAGGTTACTTAAAGATTATTTTAATAGCTTTAATTATATACACATAGGACTGATGACCAAACTCTGATTTATGTCCACAATAAAGAATAAAAACTGGCAAACTCGGTAATTAGGTTTCCATTTACAATTCTAATAAAATAATTTGTTTATTTTAATTAATTGATGTTTTGCCTTGATTAAAGTCATTAATGTTCAGAAGTAAAGGAGAATTTGCTGAAAGTTTTATACACACTGACAATTAAAAGCAGAATCTAGGTTGAGTTGACACATTGTGTTGACTGAGTGTGAAAATGACAGTTGTATCTTGAAATGTTACCACAACTCTGAGAAATCTAAGAGAAGTCAGTAGATGTTTAGTCTGTCTAGAATTACAAATCATATTTTATATACCCATGACATTATCTGATGAATAAACTGTTATCTGAGAACTCATCTCTTAGATTAAATATTAGAGGGAAGAGCCCACGTCCGTCTAGTTTGTTTGGAATATCACCTAAAAGTAGGCTCAACAGAATTAACATAGGTCCTAACTATGATATTTGGTGAATAATTGCTAATTTAACAAAATTAACATTATATCCAGACAGCAGAGAAAAATCTATGAAAATCCAAAAGATGAATTAAATCGAACTATGGCATGCCAATTCAACATCTATGCTGAATAACTTTATTCATTGCTTAATTCATTACTCTTGTGTCCCTCTGGTATCTCTTTCACAGCTGTTCCGTCTTTATGTCCTTCATATTTCAAATTCCTCCTTTTCTTCTTGGTTTCTCCTATTTCTTTCCTTCCTTCTACCTCCTTATTTCAGAGGACTAAAGAATATTAGGGTTGGAAGGGAAATTAGAGATTACCTAGTCTGATCTACTATCCAACACAGGAATCACCTTTATGACATCCTTGAGTTGGTAATTATCTAGACTCTGAATACAGGCAGTGGTGGGTAGCTCAATTTTTCAGGAAGCAGCTCATTCCACTGATGGATAACTCTAACTGGGAGAAAGGTCCTCATGTTGGGTTGAAATGTGTCCCTCTACCTTCTATCCATTGTTCCTTGTTCTCCCCTCTGTAAGAACACAAAACATACTTCCACCCTCTTTCATATGACAGTTATGAAGATATCTATCATACTTCATTCCTCAAACCCCTTCAGGTTCTTTTAACAGTTATGTATGATCTAATTTCCAGGTGTTTCATCATTCTAATTTCCTAACTTCTGGGTGCATATGCTCTAATTTGTCAATATTTCTCTTAAAATACCATTTTTAGAAGTGGCCATAGTACATTGGATGTGGTCTGACCAGTGGGGCTATTATATTCAGTAACCTGACATTCTATTTCTATTAATGTAGTTAAATCTATCACATTATTGTCTCATCCTGAGCTTGTACCTGTTTAGTATTCCCAAGTTTTTTTTTAAATGTAAACTGTTGTGAATTCAGGTCTCTAGCATTTTTATAATTACTCTTTTGAGCTTAAGAGCCTGATTTTATATTTATACTTATTAAATTTCATCTCGCTATTACAGCCCAACTTTCCAGTCTGTCAGATTCCTTTTAGGTCTAGATTTAATCATCCTTCATATCATTTATTCCTCCTATTTCTCCATCACCTGTACATTTGACACAGCATGCCTTTTTGTCCTTATAATAATGACTCAAACTTACATAGTACTTAAAGTTTATTTTTACCAAGTGCTTCTCTAAGTCATTATTAAAATGACTAAAAAGGATCAACCAAAGATTGACTCCTATGGCATGCTATTATACACTTCCTGCCAGGTTGACATCAATCAGTTAATCAGTATCTAACCTTTTATCCAACCAGTTTTGAATCCCTTTAATTGTGTTTCTATTCCATGCACATATTTTGCTTAAAAGGATATTTTGGCAGACTTTGTCAATGCCTTGATGAAAATAAGATACCTTATGGAATTCCTTTAATATTCCTTTAATATGCTATCTTAGTAACCCTTAAAAAAATTCCTTTAATATGCTATCTTAGTAACCCTTAAAAAAAGGAAGTTGTTTGGCATAACTCATTTTTCATGAATCCATATTAGTGTCAACTGATTGCTTCATTTTCTCCCCAAGTCTTCACATACTATTTGGTTTAATGATCTGGTGTCAGTAGAAAGCTTATTGTAGTAAGCAGAATTCCCTTTATTTGAAAAGCACATAGAAATATATTGTACAGAATTGTCCATTTTGGAAAATGGGACATGTGCTCAATTTCAGTCTTTGACATCATTCTTATGGGCAATTATCTTAAAAAGATGATTGACATTGTTTTTTTGATCACGTTACCAAGTTATTTTAAACCCCTTGATATAACAGTTGGTTCTAGTGATTTTTTCTTCCAATTTCTTTTTGACTTTCCATCTGATCCTTCTCTTTCTTTTTTCCCTAGCTCCTTTCCCTCCTCTCCTTCTCCCTACTTCTTTGTTTTCTTTAGGGAGAATATGTTGTTCAGGTTTGCCATCATCATAGTGGCAGTAGAAGCTGTAGATCAAATACTCCTTTTTGGTAGGGAAGTGTTTAGCCATTAATTTAATCAATTTTCCCTTTTCTTTTTAGTGGAAATTTAGACCACTTTTTGGCAGATGGGTCAGTGATGCGGCTCCTGAGAGTTTAATGCCAAATCTACTTTCCCTTTGTCACACCTTTATTTAGTGGTCAACTTAATATTCCAATTTCTCTAAATGATTGCTCTATGACAAAACTCTAAGTTAAATAGCATTCACATGAGTCAGTAACTTCTAAAACCAAGAGACTTACTTAATGGATGAGGCCCATCATTATTACCAATATCTGCCATTTAATTTTGTTAATAAATAATATTATTCACAATTCTATGAGACAGAGTACCTACCAGCTCCTCAGGAAAAAAGGAGCACCAAGAGGTCAAATGCCTTGCCCATTGTCACAGAACTAGAGAGTATGGAAGATGGGAATATCATCCTGAAATCTGTAAATGATTAGGCTAAAGAATGGACCAGTGCTTTCATTATAGGATAGGAAACTTGTTGTACCAGTGTGGGCCAGCATCTTCTAAGAATTTCAGAGTCTTTGGGAGTTGTCTAGAGCCCTAAGAATTTAAGTGCCTTGAATTCTTAAATCTAAGACTTATTGTGCCAAACCAAATTAATTAATTTAGACTAATTGGGACTTTTGGGAGATGGGACCTGGGATTTCACTGGTCCTGGGAACTTCCCAGGAGGAAACTTCTTCTTTCAATGTGGATCAGCACAAATTATGAAAATTCAAGTTTTAGAGAACTGCCAGGGACATTGCAAAGTCCCTAGCGGCTTACTCAAGGTCACACATCCAGAACAAGTCAGAAGTGGAACTCAAGTGCTCCTGATGCTAAGTCCTAATTAAAACAAATACACAGTAGGTCTTTTGTGTTGCTGTTAAATACTTATGTTAAATATTAATTTTGTTTATATATACATTCTATTTTGGTTACCTTTTAAGCTTAGTGCCATGATTACATTGCATCATAATTTCCTATGATGTTAGGCATCAGAGAATTACAAATAGATGTGTAAAAGAAAAAAGCACACTTGAAGAATTTTTACCTTTTTCCATGCACAACTGCCCCTGGATCTTGGGATTTTGCCTCCAGCTCCTGAACTTCATCTACCAGTGTTTTAAAAGTGGCCCTCTTGATTCTGTTAAAAAAAAAGATTCCCATGAAAATTCCCTTGAAAATGTCAAAACATAAAAACTAGCTATTCAGTTTAATACCATGATAATAATTTATAAGTACAATGATCACCTTAGAAAGATCAGCAATTATATAAACAATCTCAGCTCTGCTCCTTTTAAATCTTAAAATAATCATGCAAATTGCTTACAGAAAAAATATTTTTAGCTTAACATGAAAACATTGATAAATATTAAATAAATATACAAAGTCAATGTCAGGTGAAACATTTATATTATGAGAGCATTTAATATTCTAAATGAATACAATGAAAAGAAATTGACAAGCCTTCAGGCAAGCAAGAAAATCTCCCTTCACCCTTCTAAATATTATCATCAGAAACTTTATGCATTCAAAGGGAATGAAATTCTTGCATCAATCTCCCTTATATCTGGGATAGTTTGAGTAAAAACCTCCAAGTAATTCTCCTCCTCGGTGCAGTGTTTCCCAATGTTAATATGGACTTTCTGCCGTAGTTCAGTTTTTCTACTAAACGGGTGGCATGTGTTCAGCCGATGGTCGACCCTTTCTTCTCTTAATTTTCTTTTTCCTAATCTCATAATACTACTAAACCTTGTGAACTGCTGAAAAATAAGCTCTGAAGATGACCTCACATTTAGAGAAAAAGGTCAGTCATACAGAGGTAGGCTCGTATCTATAATCACATACAATGAAGACAGATAAACTTACACTTTGTATACAATGTCAAGAAGCAAAGATGTCACAGGAATAAATAATAGTCCCATCCAGAAGACTCCAGAACTAAAGAGCATGGCTGCCTGAATAAATAAAAACAAATAAACTTTTAAAATAATTTGAAAAGCTTTGAATATTATTGAATTTGTAAAAAAAATTCTGACCACCATTTCGGATTGACAATCATTTGCATAATTATGTAAAATGTTTTGATTTAGGAACCAGATTTGTGAAAATTTTAATGTATTAAATCTTCAGAGTACCTTTCTTTCTACTCTATTCTAATGGTATTAAAGTTTTGCTGTGTAAATTTCTTTTAATAGAGTTTTCTCTCTCTGTTGATCGTGAACATTAGAGGGAGATAATAAACTTGACATTTCTACATGCCTTTTCAATGGCTTGGAATATCATGCCCTGTACTTCTCAAGCAAGAGTCCACATACAACCCAGACTAGGCCTGAATAATATTTTCCTTAAACTCTAAAACCTAAAAAAAAAAACCTCAACAGAAAATCTTGTACTTTCCAACACCTTTTAATGAAATTATCAAATAAAAATAAACTCTAACAAAAATAAATAAAACTTAATTTCAAAATCCCATCACTATAGCATTTAGCTAAATTATATAATATCATAATTATGTAACATAATTTCCCTACAGCATAGGAAAAATAGAGATACTACTAGCAATAAGTATTTGACTGGTTCTGGAGAGAAATCAGTTTTCTTCTCTTCAAATTAATTATAAAACTTGCTTCAACACACCTGTTATGGCTGAGCCAATGCCAAAGTAAATAACTTGCATGTAAAATGAGAACAAATTGTATTAAAATAAACAACCTGCCTTTGGATCACATGCAAAGTATCTATATCAGAAATAATATAGTTCCAAAGAAAATGATTCTGTTATTAATAAATTATTGTTAGTTGCCTGCAATTATACTACAAAAATGGCTTTGTAATATAATTAGATTACACAGATTAAAAATAACAGTGCCACACAATGGCACCAGAAAATTCTTACTTCATTTCTTAGAGTCTGATTACTTCTAAAAAGCAAAATTTGTGGATTCTAATGGAAACCATTTAAGAAAAATACTGTTATACTTTCTCTAAAAAGTAGCCAAGTAACATTTAAGGAACGAAAAAAGGAAAAGAAACCTCTTACGTTGCAGACAATTGAGGAAAAGTTCAAGAATTTAGTTTTTATGGGCTGTTGCTCCACCATCATACATATCATTATTTTCTCTTCATATATGGAAAACTTCTATTCAGAAATTTGGAAAGACAACTCCTATGAAGGGTCTAGTTGCTTTTCACAGTTTCTATTAATACTGATACATAGTCATAGTCAAGCATCCAATTTAGTTTTAAGAAGTATTATTTTTCATTGCCTACATCACAGATTCAGCACACACATAAGCAGCTCTGGGAGAGCAGTCCTGAAAATACTCCTTTAAAAAATAAAGTCAAAATCATTACAAAATGGTCCCCCAAACAAACCAATTCTGCAAATAAAATTAAACAGTAATCCGTGGATTTCATAGAACAGCACCCATATACTTCTGAAACCAAAGAGAAGAAAAATATTCACATAAAAGTCACTTTATTTTATAAGCAAAACATGATCTTGGACATGTTTGCTGACATTCTCAATTGTTAAAACCAACACTAACTGTGTAATAGGAAATGTCTATCAAGGCTGGGGGTGGTGGGGTGGTGGGGTGTTGGTGGTTTGTTCCTCGGAAGCTTTATAGTAAGATAACTGTAGAATGGCCATTTTTTTCACATATATATGTATGTATACATATATATATGTAAAAGGCAAGATAATTCTAGGTGTTTTAATCTAAAATATCAGGTTTGCCTGGCTTCATTTCTAATGTTTTTATTTTCCTGGGTAAGACAGGAAAGGTTTATTTTCCACCTCTGCCACCTTGCACTAAATGTCTGCTGGTGAAATAGCAGAAGTAGTGATGTAGGTCTTAGGATGTTAATTCTGACCATTGTAATGCTAACTATAAATGAAGGAACAACTGTCGCCCAGTATTCACAGCCTCCCCAGCCTTTGGCTTTACAAATGAACAACAAGAATTCAGGAAAAAAAGTTTTTTTCTGTGTCATATTTGAAAGCCTGTCAGATTTTTTTTCTTTCGCAGAGTTAATCCAAACCTAAAAGATTTAAAGCCGACATTCGCATTAAAGACAGAGAGCCTCTTTGTATTTTTTGGAAAAAAATAAAATCCCACAGAGGTATTTCCTTCCTTTCTGCACAAGAAAGCTCCCCCTCACTTTCTGTAGAAACCATTTTTGTCTCTAACTTTTCACATCTCTCCACACACAGGCAGGTCATCTGGGAAATGGCAAACCAATCCCTTTCAGACAATGGTATAACAGGAGCAGCCTGTTCTGGGGATGGACTCTGGCTCCCTCTGTTCGAAGTTTACAAATTGTTCCTAATGCGTGAGGTTTGTGGTCTATGCCAAGTTTGCCCCTACCCCCACCCCGGCCTCGAGGCCTTGTGAAACCAAATGGAATCTGCCACAAAAGTGGCTCCCGGGGGACTTCAGAAAGAATCAGAAAATCAGGGTTGCAAAGCCTGGTAAATTGGAGGCCCAACAAGCCCAGAAGGGAAAACAAATAACCTCTTGTCTCTGCAGAGTGACAAGGACTCAAAATTATACAAATGGGACTTCAAAAATAAATGCAGAGTGTCTCAAAACTCAAGTTATGTCAAAGAATTATTCTGCAAAATCTCTGTGTGAACTTGTTGAGAAAGGACTTTTTAGAATCCATGTACTCCTGGCCTCTATCTAAGCAAACAGTGGCAATCCTGACTGAGATACCATTAAAGGGAAACAGACCTCTAGTATTAGGGAACCAAGAGCTAGTTGTTTCACAAATTTTTCAGAACTGTTCAAGGGCACTTGAACAAGAGTGAAACATCTCTCTTTCTTTTCTCATTTCTCCCTTCTTACTCCCACCACCCCCACTTCCTATCTCTTATCTGAGCACCCCAGAGCAGTCAAATCCTCTTCATTTTTCTAAAATCTCCGTTTTCTTATTTTAAGCTAAATAACAATAGCAAAGTAGTTTACATTATTATCATCTAATTTCACCCTCAATACCACTCTGTGACATACAGGTGCTATTGTTTTCTCCATTTTACAGCTAAAGAAACTGAGGCAAGGAGAGCTTAAATGACTTCTCTGCCCAATGGGACACAACTCTTAAGTGTCTGATTTGAACTTAGGTCTCCCAAACCCAAAGTCCAGTGCTCTATGCATTATGTCCTGCTGTCTTCAAGTCAAATGTAACCTCATTCAATTCAGACACCTTATAGGTTTAACCATGATTTTTTGCATGATATGAAAACAAGAAAAACGTGAGGGACAGACCACTTTTTCTAAAATTTTCCATCTATTTATGACACTGTCATGAACTTTAAAAGAAAATAGTAATATTCAGGGAACTGGAAGTTATCAAATATTAGTCACTGACTATACTAAGCTAAAAAGAGGTGACATTCAAGAAAAAACAATAATAAAAGAACAACTAGCTGCATTCAATGAGTTTAAACTATGAGGTCTTGATGAATTAAATCCCTGGGTACTCAAAAAATTGGCAGATGTGATTTGCTGGGTCCCTGTTAGTGATATTTGAAAGGATAGAATAACAGTAGAATTAATTGCAGAAGGACAAACATTGACTTGAATTTTTTTAAAGAAAGAAAATAGATCTTAAAAACTGTAGACTACTCATTGACTTGAAATCCGAGCAAAATTCTTGACCTTATTTTTAAAGGATATGACTAGTGAACATCTAGAATAGGAAGCAGTGTAATGAGCTTAGCACAGTTGCCTGGCACATAGTAAGCACTTTATGAATGTTAGTTGCCATTTTCATCATTTTCGTCATTTTTATCGTCATCATCATCATGATCATCATCATCAAAAAGAGCCAATATAGCTACTTTAAGGGGAGCTGGTGAAGTGGAAAGAGTGCTGATCCTGGAGTCAGGAGGATTAGAGTTCAAATCTGGCCTCAGTCACTGTGTACCCCTGGGCAAGTCACTTACCCCTGTTTGTCTCAGTTTCCTCATCTGTAAAATGAGCTGGAGAAGGAAACGGCAAAACTCTAGTATCTTTGCCAAGAAAACCCCAAACAAGGCCTTGAAGAAAATGATTAAACAGCAACAAAAATGGCTTCATCAGGAATGTATCTTGCCTAAGAAACCCAATTCCCTCTTTTTTTTTCGTATAGGACTATTAGTTCTGGGCAATGCTGTAGCTAGAATTTACCTACATTGTAGCAAAGATTTGACAAAGTCTTTCATGCTTTTCTTGTGGAAATGAGGAAGTTATATGAGCTAGAAAATGATATAATTAGGTGGACTTGGAACTCATTGAATAGTGTATTTCAAAGAATTCTGAGAAAGAATTGGTAGGATTCCACAATCTCAAAGGTTGCATACTAATCAAAGTTGCAGATGATAGCTTGAAGGGGATAGCTAACATGTCAGAAAACAGTTAATAATCCAAAAGATTTTGACATGGTAGAATGTTGAAGTGAATTGATATTTAATAGTAATAAATACAACAAATTGATATTTAATAGTAATAAATACAACTTCTTGTACCCAAGCGCAAAATATTAACTTTATAGTCATGACTAGACAACAATTCATCTGAAAAAGGTTTTAGTGGACTGCAAGCTCAATGAGTGATATGGCCACCAAAAATAAATGTAGTCTTGGGATATATTAAAAAATTCAGAGGCAAGTAGGTAGAGTACTGGCCCTGGAGTCAGGAAGACCTGAATTCAAATCTGGCCTCAGACGCATAATACCAGTTGTGTGACTCTGGGCAAGTCACTTAACTCCAATTGCCTAACCAAGAAAAAAAAAAAAGAAATTCATAGCGTTCAGGACTCTGGAAGTGAGAGTTTCATTGTATTCTACCTTGATGAGACATCTGAAGTATGTGTTCATTTTTGGGAAATCATATTTTAGGAAGGGCCTTAAAAAGCCAGACACTGTCCAGAAGAGGACAACAAAGGTGGCCTTGAAATCACGCCATGGGAA